CGTCAGAAGTAATGTTAAATAATAATGATGATAAAGGGCATGTTTGTGTTGTTCCCCATCTTAGGGAGAAAACATCCAGTTTCTCATCATTAAGCTGTAGATTTTTTTGTGGATGTTCTTCATCAAGTTGAGGATACTTCCCACTAGTCCTAGTTTTCTCAGCGTTGGTACCTTCAAGGGTGTTGGATTTTATCAAATGCCTTTGCTGCATGAATTTATATGGATCCTATAATTTTTCTTCTTTAACCTCTTAATGTGCTGTGTTCATTGATTGATTTTAGAATATTGAACCATCCTTGTATACTGAGAATAAATCCCACTTCTTTGTCTTCCATAATTCTGTTTAGACATTGTTGGATTATATTAGCTAAAATTTTGTTAAGGATTTAAAAATCTGTATTCATAAGGAATTCCAGTCTGTAGTTTTCCTACAGCGTCTTTAGTTGCTCTTAATATTAGGGTAATGCTAGATTCATAGAATGAATTGGGAAGTGTTCCTTCTGCTTCTATTTTCCAGAAAAAAAGATTATGTAGAATTGGTCTTTCTTCCTTAAATATATGTTAAAATTTACCAGAGAAACCATCTGAGACTGGTGTTTTCTTTCTTGGAAGGTTATTGACTCAACGTCCTTGCCTAGTCAGATTATCTGTTTCTCTTTGCATGAGTTTTGGTAGTTTGTATCTTTCAAGTAATTGCTCCATTTCATCTACTTTATTAAATTTTGGGGCATAGAGTTCATAGTATTCCTTGATTATTGTTTTAATTTTCATGGGACAATTAATGATGACTTATATCCCATTTCTAATATTGGTACTATATTGCTTATATTTTCAAGTTTTCTGTATATTATATGTTTTGACATCTTTTAAAAAATTCTTCCTGACTTGGGAGAAACTATGCCCTCCTGAGGCAAGCCAATTCATAGCGAAGCAAAAGGACTTATCCAGGGAGCACAGCTTTGGTATATAAAAAACTAAATATCAAGCCATACCTCCTCTGTCTGGCCCATATGCAACAGGCCTTCCTCTGTCTTAACCATTGCAGAGATACCTACCAGATAACTGGGGACAACCTGTATACTCCACGGCCCTCTGAAATTATTCATACTAGCCAATCCTAATCTGTTTACCCTACCTTGCTTTTCCTGTGGAGACTCCAATAGAGGCTCTAGTCAAGGCTTTTCTCTGGCTCCTGCTTTCTGCCTCCTGACTAACTACCCCAAGGATTCCCCATGTAATCCTGTATGGCATGGCATGGCTCCTATTTCTAAGACCTGTGAGTATAAGAAATGTTGTTTTCCTCTCATGGACACACCTGACTGAACATCACAGAAAATAACACAGAACAGGCGATTTGGATCTTCTCTTTTTCTTGGTTAGCACAGCTATAAGTTTATTGATTTTAACTAGATTCTGGTTTCTGTAATTTTCTCTATTGTTTCCTGGTTTCGATTGCATTGATTTATGATCTAATGTTTATTGTTACCTTTCTTTTGCTTTCTTTAATCTTAATATTTTTCCTTTAGCTGCTGAAGGTAGACATTCAGATCGAGTTTAGATTTTTCTTCTTTTCTAATATATGCATTGAATGCTAAGCACTCCAAGCACTGCTTTCAGAGAATTCCACGAGTTTTGATGTTATATTTCAATTTTTATTTAGTTCAAAATGTTTTTTAATTCTTCTAGATATTTACCTGATCCATGTATTATTTAGAAGTGTGGATTTAATTTGCAGATATTTTGTGGTTTTCCAGCTGTTTTGTTACTGATTTTTAGTTTCGTTTCACTGTGGTCTGGGACCACAGTTTGCATAATTTCTGTTATAGGTTGAAGTGTGCCACCTCCCCCTCCCTACTATATATTGAAGTCTGAACCCCCAGTACCTGTGAATATGATCTTTACAGATGTAATCAAGTTACGGTGGGGTCACTAGGGTGGCCAAAATCCAATATTACTGGAGTCTTTATGAAAAGCAGGAATGCCATGTAAACACAGAAACACACAGAGAAAATGCTACACGATTATAGAGGCAGAGAGAGGTTGTGGTGATGCAGCTGCAAGCCAAGGAATGCCAAGGAGTGACAGCCACCATCAGAAGCTAGAAAGAGGCAAAGAAAGATTCTCCCCTGCATGTTTCAAGCAAAACATAGTCCTTCTGATACTGTGGTTTTGGACTTCTAGCTTCAAGACCCATGAGAAAATACATTTCTGTTGTTTTAATCCACTCACTTGGTGGTACTTTGTTACAGCTACCCTAAACTATATCATTTCTATTCTTTCAAATTTATTAATATGTGTTATGGCCCAGAATGTGTTCTAGCTTGGTGAACATTCCACGAGACCTTGAGAAAAGTGTGCATTCTGCTGTTATTCAAATAAGTGTGCTATAAATGTCAATTACATCAAGTTGATTGATGGTGCTGTCTAGAGCAACTCTTGTTGATTTTCTGCCCGCTTAATCTATGGATTACTGAAGGAGTAGTGTTGAAGTCTCCAAATATAATAATGGATTTGTCTATTTCTCTTTGCAAATCCAATCAGTTTTGGCCTTACGCATTTTGACACTGTTAGGAGCATATACACCAGGATTGTTCTGTCCCCTTGGAGAACTGACGCTATCATTAATGCTGCTCTTTGTCCCTCATAATTTCCTTGTTCTGATGTCATCTTTGTTTGAAATTAATATAGCTACTCTGGCTTCCTTTTGATTAGTGCTAGCATAGTCTTCCATTCTTTATCCATTGATGTTATAAATAATTTGTTATTTTTAAGACGTTTTAACAGCTTGAGTGATTTTTTTCACGTATCTACATTTACCCATATAAAAGGTACTATTCATTGGCTTTCAGTGTATTCACAGAGTTGTACACCATCAACACAATCAATTTTCAATTTTTTTCACTAGCATCCCCCAAACCCTGTAACTCCTTAGCTAATCCTCCATTATTTGCCAAGCCTAGGCAACTACTAATCTATTTCTGTCTCTCTAGATTTGCCTTTTTTGGACATTTCCTATAATATGCAGTTATATTGAAATAGAATCCTATAGTGTGTGATCTTTTGTGAATGACATTAGATAATAGCTGGTGTTTTGTGAATGGCTTCTTTCACTTAGCATAATAGATTCAAGGTTCATCCATATTGCTGTATATATACGCTTCATTCTTTTTTGTTTCTGATTAATATTCCATTGTATGAATATACCAGTTTTTATTCAACCACTAATCAGTTTATGACCATTATGGGTTTGTTTTGTATTTTGGCTATTATGAATAATCCTGTTATAAACATTTGTATATATACTTTTCGTGTGCATTATGTTTTCATTTTGCTTGGGTGTATACTTAGTAGTGGTTGCTGGATTATGTGGTAACTCTGTATATAAACTATTGAAGAATGGCTAGACCACTTTTCACAGTGGCTGCACAATTTTCACATTCCTACTAACAGTTTATGAGGGTTCAAGTTTCTCTACATCCTTCTATTGGCCATCTTTTATTTATTTACTTACTTACTTACTTACTTATTTGAGATGGAGTCTCTCTCTGTTGCCCAGGCTGGAGTGCAGTGGTGTGATCTCTGCTCACTGCAACCTCTGCCTTCTGGGTTCAAGTGATTCTTCTGCCTCAGGCTCCTGAGTAGCTGGGATTACAGGCATGTGCCACCATGACTGGCTAATTTTTTGTATTTTTAGTAGAGACTGGGTTTCACCATGTTGGCCAGGCTGGTCTAAAACTCCTGACCTTGGGTGATCCACCTACCTTGGCCTCCCAAAGTGCTGGGATTACAGGTGTGCCGCTGCACCTGGCTGTCCATCCTTTTGGATGGCTGTTTTAGTGGGTGTCAAGTGTCATTTAATTTTGGTTTTAATTTTCATTTCCTTGAAGACTAACAATATAGAGCATCTTTTCATGTTCTTTTTGGTTATTTGTATGTTTTCTTCGGAGAAATCCCTATTCAAGATTCTTTGCCCATTTTTACATGGGTTGTCTATTTTATTTATTTATTTTTTTGAGACAAGGTCTCATTCTGTCACCCAGGCTTGTGTGCAGTGGTGTGACCATGGCTTCCTGTAGCCTTGATCTCCCAGGCTCAAGCGATCCTCCCGTCTCAGTCTCCTGAGTAGTTGGGACTATAGGCATGCACCACTGGACCCAGCTGATTTTATTTATCTATTGCCTTTTTTTTCTTTTTTTTTCTTTTTTTTTTTTTTTTGGTAATGCTTTCAGTTGTCATAGCTAAGAATCCATCAAAGATTCTTAGAATTGTAATTCAACGTCATAAAGATTTGAACCAACAGTGTCTTTGAAGAGCTTTAGAGTTTTAACTCCTACATTTAGGTCTTTGTTCCATTTTAATTTTTGTATATGATGTGAAGTAAGGATCTAACTGCATTGTTTTGCACTAGGATATCCAGTTGTCTCCCCATTTGTTAAAGATGATTTTTTTCCCATTGAATGGTCTTGCACCTTTGCTAAAGATCAGTTGACCATACACACATTAAGGTTTATTTCTGGACGTCCATTTTATTCCAAAACAATTGGAATTATTAACTGCTTACGTGTTTCAGGCATGATCCTAAGCATGAATTCATTTGTTTCTCACAATAACTGTGAAGTGGGCACTATTCTCACTCCCTTTTGACAGATGAAGTGGCCAAGATACAGAGTGTTTTGCCCAAGGCCACATAAGTAACTATTAAGTGGCAGTGCCAGTGTAAGAATTTAGGTTGACTAACTTGAGAGCCTGAGATCTTAGCCGTGCATGCTGTAAATAAAAGTTAGAAATCAAAACTTCAGAATTCCACTGAAGAGTTCACTTTAAACAAATGGAGTGAAGGTCAGAGTAGCCACTAGGGGTTTGAAAAGCAAAACAGGAAGGGACTTCCCCACCAGCTTGCTTTCTGTGGAGTAGCAGCAATGAACCTGCCTTTTTTGGTTAAAACTCCTACACGCTCCCCCGCCCCCCGCCACCCCAAGCTGATAATTTGCACTGGCTGTATGTCGAATTCGCACTTAGCTCCTGGAGCAGTGCTGAGTGGTGCGACCAAGGGTCGGACCCACTGTGAGAACCTCCCGCCACTTTCCGCACAGAACCTGGAAATGGGAAGGCCTCGGCGGGCCGGGAGTTTGCCCGGGGTGTGGAAACTCTCGCGGGAAGGTGCGTCGTTGCCTCGGTAACCGCGTGGCCGTTGCTGAAGATGGCGGGGCGAAGTCTCGGTCTCTCGGTCAGTTCAACTCCAGGCTCCTGGGGAGTGTCTGGGCTCCGGCGACTAGGATGCCTAACCTCCTTTATGTTCGGGTGCGAAACTCTCTCCCTCTTTTACAGAGAAGCAGCGTTCCAGGAACTCCGCTCCGGCCACCTGTTCAGCAACCCGCTACACCTGGACCGGACCTCCTCGCTTTGGAGGAAGAGTATAAGTAAGAAATTCTGCGGTTGAGCTTTCCTTCCTTCCTTTCATCTAAATAAGGTTGCTTACAAGTACTTTTTCTGAAGACTGGCTGGATCTTCAGGACCACTCTGCAGCATTCCCTTCTCGTCATCTCGTTCACTCGCAGTTTATCCTTTCTCTTTCACCTGAGTAGTTCGCCTGCGTCTTAGAAGATATTTGAAGTGGGCGAAAGTATAGCCCAAGTAAACAGCAATATGCTTTTGGAAGTTATTTGAGTAGCAGGAATTGCCACGAATAGTTCAGTTCCTAGTTTAGGTTATTTCGCTTAGTAGCAAGTTCATAGAGTTTACCTTATGTAAATTTCCTTTACATTGGTTTCTAAATTGAAGCATGCTTCCTAGTGCAATCAGAATTACCGTTCTCGTTCAAATTTTCCTTATCTGGTCTCAGTGTAATTACAAGTATCTTCACAAGCTTTCATTCCTGGCCCATTCCACTCATCATCCCTAAGTTTTCACACAGCAGCCAATGTAATCTTTTAATTTGATCATGCAATTCCTTTGCTTAAAACACTGCAGCGGTTTCCTCTTAAACTTTAAAAGCTCCTCCTGCGCCCTTTTTACTTGATCTTATTCCCGCTCCCATTTCCCCCCTAAAACTCTCCAGCTTAACTGGCCTTTTAGTTCGAAAACACTCAGTTTTTTTTTCTGTCTCAGGAAAGAGACAATTCACACACGCCTTCAACCTGTATTGTGAGTGGCCTTCCTTGGCCATGCTAAGTAGGCTCCCTTGTTGGTCTTTTTCATCGTCCTCCTGATTTTTCTTTCTAGTTAGCATAATTTGTTACAATAAATTCATTTGTTAATTTCCTTTTTGTCTGTCTTTTCCACTGGACTGTAAGTTCCAAGGGCAGAGACCATGTCTGTTTATTTGCCATTGTGCATACCCTTATAAAAAAAAGTGTCTAAAACAACTCCCTTTCTTTTTGATTTAATATAAAATAACTAGTTTAAAATTTGTAAATAGTTGGGAGTTTGTGTCAGAGGGTTAGAGTTACTGTGTGAGCTACATATGATGTGTATTTGAAATTAACACTGAAGAGTACTCTGTTTAGATGAACTATACACCAATTTACCACAGCAAGTAGGAAGATAATCATTTCTTCTTATCTCTGATCAAATGTGCCTATTATCCCAGATCTCAAGTGTACTTAAACAACTTAATCTGTTGTCTATATAGTTATTTGAGAGTATATTTTGCACCTGGCTCTGGTGCATCGTTAGGGATATCGTCCTGCTTAAAATAAGAAATATACAGGGACTATTATTCTAGCATGAGTTGTTTTATAAAGCGAGATCCTAAACAGTATTACTTGGTGGCCAGTTGTTACTTGTTCTGTTTTCTGTACTGAGTTGTGCACATGTGAAGCATATGAACAGAGTAACTCTCTACACTACCTGAATCTTCTAGAGTACTTCTGTGTCAGGTAGAAGAGTAAAATGTCTGGCCATCTCTATAAGCAAGAATATGAGATTATAACAGTGTGCTATCTATTTTGTCACCTGTTGTCTTGGCATTAATCATTAGAACGCTACTTCCTAGGGCCCTGAATCGAAAATCTTTTGCAATTCTGCTCCTGTTGGAGGAAATAATCACTATTTGAGAGGATAAACTAAGGAAGATGCTAACCACTCAAGTGGATAGGTTTTTCAAGCTTCATTCCTGTATTATACCAATAGCTAAACAGTAAGATTACATGATAACTGGTAGGGCAAGCCACCTCATAAATCCCAGTTACATTGGATTTACAGATTAATTTGCAGATAACGGACTTATTTATGCTATTGAATCTTCCACAAGTATGATACTTCTCCATTTACAGGGTTTTTTTTTTTTAACCTTTAATAGTGTTTTGTTTTACTACATAAAATTCTTGCATATATAATTTGCTTTAAGGTGCTGAATAGGTTTTGGTGCTATATAATAAGTGGACTTTATTATATTTTCTAATTGGTTATAAATGTAGGATTTTTAGATGTTGGTGCTACATCTATATTTACATACAAACACAGATCTTCAGTCCTGCTGGACTCTCTTATTCATTCTATGAAGTCCCTTGGATTTTTGATGAAGACAGTTATATGCAAATTATGATCATTTTCTCCCTTGATAATTCTCCTGCATTCTCTCTTTTTCTCTGTTTAGGACTTCCCATGTGATACAGAATAGAAAAAGTGATGGTGAGCTTCCTTACCTTGTTTTTGATTTTGAGAAGCCCACTTTTAATAATCACTACATTTGAGGTTTGCTCTAGGGTTTTGGTAGATTCTTTTTTTGTGTTTAAAATTCTTCCCCTTAAATCCTAATTTGAATGAGTGTTTAATATATCAAAACTTCTTTTTTCCCCAATTAATTCAGGGGGTGGTATGTTCTTTTTCCCTCCTTTAATGCTTTAACATACTGAACTGCAAAGGCAGCTTTCTTGTTTTCCTTTAAAGACTGCTAGATTTGATGGGTGTAATTTTTTATGTAGGTTTTTTCATCTATGAACAAAAGTGAAATGGGTGTTTTACTTTTTTTCTAGTTCTTATCCTTTCTGTTTTTAATATCAGTATTATTCTGGCTAGATGAAATAAACTGAATAGTTTTCTTGTTTTGTTTCTTTTCTTGGGAGCTTTTTATAATTAGAGATTTTTTTTGCCCTTTGATTAAAGTTGTGAAACTGTGTCAGTGTAGTGTTCTTTCGTTAAGGAGACTCTTTTTGTCTATGAATTTAGCTTCTTTAATGATTACTTATCTATTTAGATGTTCTATATCTAGAATAATTTTTGGTTCTAGAAAAGTGTGCATGTGTGTTTTAAAATATGTTAGCGTAAACTGACTATGGTTGTATGTTTGAAATCTTGACTGTATCTGTAACCATGTACCCCCCTCCTTTTGGTAGCTTTCCAATATTGTTTATTTTTGTCCCTTTCTATCAAGGTTCCTGGGAGATTTATCTGTCTTATTGGTCTTTTCAGAGAACCAGCTTTGGTTTTCTTGGTAATCTGTGCTATTATAAAATTTCATTAATCTTTATAGAAATAAAGAAAGACAGACCACCTCTTCTACACTGGGGTGGATTAATTTTTTTTTTTTTTTTTTAGTTTCTTGACCTCATTTATTGTTTTCTTATTTTTTAATAAATATATTTAAGTCTTTAAATTTCTCTCCATCTGTAGCTTAAGTACATTCCAAGACTTCTTTTGATGTATATTTCTCTTATGGTTATTAAGTTCTAAATATTACGTGATTTCATAGTGATTATTTAGAAGGGTGTTTTTTAGTTTGCAAGCACATAGAGTTGTTTGCTGTTGTCTACTTTTTACTTTTCTAAGTATGTATGTGACAGGGTCCTGCTCTGTTGCCCGGGCTGGAGTGCAGTGGTGCAATTATGGCTGACTGCAGCTTTGAACTCCTGGGCTCAAGAGGTTTTCCCACCTCAGGCTCCCAAGGAGCTGGGACTATAGGCACATGCCACCATGCCAGGCTAACTTTTTTTTTTTTTTTTTTTTTTGAGGCAAGGTCTCAATCTGTTGCACAGACTGGAGTACAATGGCGTGATCTTAACCCACTACAACCTTCACCTCTCAGGCTCCTGAGTAGCTGGGACTACAGGCATGTGCTAGCACACACGGCTAATTTTTGTATTATATTTTTTGTAGAGAGGGTGTTTCGTCATGTTGCCCAGGCTGGTCTTTAACTCCTGAACTCAAACAGTCTGTTTGCCTCAGCCTCCCAAATTATTATTATTCTGATTTAGATTACAGGCATGAGTCACCATGCCCGGCCTAGTTTATTTTAAATTGCATTATGATTAGATAATTGATAAGATACTAAGTTTTTTTTAAATGTATTGAGACTTATTTGTGGCCAAATGCATGTTCACTTTTTGTAGAAGTTCTATGTGTTCTTTTATAGAAAGTATATTTTTATTTGTTGGCTAATCTGTTAGATTAAGCCAATTATATTTGTTATCCATGATAACGGTTTCTTAAACTCTACTTTTTTGTTCATTCTGGTTTTATTGGTTTCTGTTAGAAGTGTATTAAAATCATCAGTTATAGAAAAAAATTCATTATAATTGTGGCCATTTTTGTTTGGGAGTATCTTATTTGCCTTAGGTAAATCTTGTTGATTCCTTTCATTCTTATGCGGAGTCTATTATAGCTTTCTTCATCCTTTATTTTCAAACTTTGTATGTCATTTATCAATAAGAGCATTCTTTTTATAACCAGTCTGATAATTTCTGCCTGTTAATTAAGTGAATTTAACTTGTTTACATTATTACATAACTTGAAGTTGTCTTAGCCACCTTATTTTTTATGTTTTGTATTTATTTATTTATTTATTTATTTTGAGACGGAGTTTCGCTCTCGTTACCCAGGCTGGAGTGCAATGGCGCGATCTCGGCTCACCGCAACCTCCGCCTCCCGAGTTCAGGCAATTCTCCTGCCCCAGCCTCCTGAGTCGCTGGGATTACAGGCACGCGCCACCATGCCCAGCTAATTTTTTTTTTTTTTTTTTTTGTATTTTTAGTAGAGACGGGGTTTCACCATGTTGACCAGGATGGTCTCCATCTCTTGACCTCGTGATCCACCCGCCTCGGCCTCCCACAGTGCTGGGATTACAGGCTTGAGCCACCGCACCCGGCCTGTTTTGTATTTATTATGTCTTGCCTTTGGTTCTTGTCTCTCTGATGCTGGATTGAATGGATTTTCATTATGTCTTTATTGTTACTGATTTGGAAAGATATTAGAATGCTTTAACTTGGTTTCCTCTGTCTTTTAAGTTAGATGATATTTTACTTTGTTGTTTTGAATACACCCACACCCAGTTAATCATCAGTGTTATTTTTATAGTCTGTACTAGTTTAGATTTGGCATGTTTTTCGATATCTTCATGATTTCTTTTTTTCCAGATTCAGTTTTCCTCCTTCCTGAAGTATAGATGCTTCATTACTTCCTTCTGTGAAAAACTAAGTCTTAAACTCTTCAGTCTATTAGAAGATTGTTACTTTGCAGTTATTCTTCAACGACGGTTTATCTGAATGTAATTCTAGATAGCCAGTTTTTCTTTCTCAGCCCATTAAAGATATCCTTATATTGTCTGTTGGAAATATAAGGGTAGAAATGTTAGAATGTTAGAAACATTAATGAGTCGTCTGCTGTTAGCTTTTTAGATAATTATGGTGATAGACTATTTTTCTCTGTTCTTTTGAAATAATGATTTGGTAGTTTAGGGAGTACTCTCTTTTTCTTTAAAATTCTGTACTTTTACTATGTTGTATACACATGTAGATTTGTTTTCTTTATTCTTCATGAGATCCATGTTTTCAGTTTGGGAGATTCTCAGCATTAGCTCTCTAAATATTGACATTCTCTCCTCTTGGGATGTCTTGTCTTGTCTTTTGGAGACAGAATCTTGCTCTGTTGCCCAGACTGGAGTGCAGTGACAGGATCTTGGCTCACTGCAACCTCTACCTCCCAGGTTCAAGGGATTCTCATGCCTCAGCCTCCTGAGTAGCTGGGACTACCAGCGAGCAACACCACACACCACACCCGGATGATTTTTTTTTTTTTTTTTAGATAGAGTTTCGTTTTTGTTGCCCAAGCTGGAGTGCAGTGGCGTGATCTTGGATCACTACAACCTCTGCCTCCTGGGTTCAAGTGATTCTCCTGCTTCAGCCCCCCATGTAGCTGGGATTACAGGTGCCTGCCACCATGCCTGGCTAATTTTTGTATTTTTAGTGGAAACAGAGTTTCACCATGTTGGCCAGGATGGTCTTGAGTTCCTAACCTCAGGTGATCTGCCTGCCTCATCCTCCCAAAGTGGTGGGATTACAGGCATGAACCACAATGTCCGGCCTTAATTTTTGTATTTCTTTAGGAGAGTTGGGGTTTCTCCATGTTGGCTGGTCTCCTGGCCTCAAGTGATCCTTCCTCCCCACCTCCCAAAGTGCTGGGATTACAGGTGTGAGTCACCGCACTCAGCCCTCTCTGGGATTTCTTTCTATAATTTCTGTTATAGTAGGTACATAACGTCTGTCTTTAATGGATGTTAACCTGTCTTTTGTGTTTTTATCCCTTTGTTTTCTGTATCTCCTTGTAGGTGATTTCTTTCTATCTGTCTTCTAATTCACACATTCCTTTTTATCGGATTTCTTAATTTCAGTGCCTGTGATTTTCATGTATGTAATTTGTATTTGGATCTTTTTCAGATTCAACATTCTTTTGTGATAAAATCTGAGTCTTGCCTAATGTTTTTCATTTGTGTGTTTTTTTTTTCAAAATGGTAATTTAAAATCTTTTAAAAATTATTAATAGTATCTCTTTTTCCTAGAAGACAAATTTTCTGTTTCCTCACATCTGCTGATTCTCTCTTTCCGTGGCTTATTTCTTTACACAATTTGTTACCTTTTTGAAGTCCCCTTTAGCAGTTTGCTTTCTGAGAAAGTTTATATATTGTAGACGAGTAAATGTCCTTATAGGGTGGTTTTCAATTTACCTTTACGAGTTCAGAGTTTTCATTGATTCCACACCAGCTTTTTCTATTTTAAAGTTTTGGCATGGTGTCCCTGTATCATCTGGATAAGATGAATTTGGACTTCCCTCGTTTACTCACAAGAGAATCTTTTCTGCCCATGGCTCTGGTTTCCTTTCTGCTCACCTAAGGTTGCGGGTAGAGTTTTTGTAGTTTGTGCTTCACAGGTTTATCCCTTCATGTCTTACATGCTTCAGCTTCTAGCTTTTAAGCTATTTTGTCTTCTGTTCCTGTTTATTGCTCTCAGTTTGCATTGCTGCTTTATTCTTAGTGCCAGGGCATTTCCCTTGCCTGAGTTTGAGCTTAGCAATGTTTCCTCCATTACATTTTATCAGACATTTCTGTGGATTTAGAGTAGAATTGTCTCAATCATCTGGGTCCATTATATTAATTGGAAACTTCCAGTTAAGTCCTTGTGATTCTTGTTAGGGAAATGTGAAAAATCAGGTAATGACACTTTAAAGACACCTTTAAGTCTTTCATAGGTATATTTCTTTTGACCAAGTGATCCTAATATATAGAAATATTTCTTAAAGCTTCATACTGTTAAAGGATATGGTACTGATCTCCCCCTTTTTTTCCCTGGGGATGGAAATTGTGTTTTGTGTTACTTCTGAATTACATGTCGAAGAAAAACAAGATATCTAATTTTTAAAATCCTTAACATATCTCCTTCACATAACCTCAAAAGATCCTAGATAGTCTAGAAATGTGACATTTCAACAGTAGAAAAAGTGATATGCTTCTGAATATCTTTATTGTGGTGTTAACCTTTAAAAGTGAAAGGGGGACATAACAATAGCGGCAGAGGTCAGTACATTATATTAATTTCAATTTATTGAATTATTGTATAGCTACTTAACATGCTTATAAAGATTAGATCGAGATAGGTATTTCTTTTATATTGCTGTGGGAAAACAGTATAAAATTGTGTATATGCTATAGATAAAAACTGGAAGAGAGTATTAAAAATAAAAATGGTTGGATGGTGGTGATAGAGTTATGGGCAGTTTTTCCTTTAAAAACAGTTTCTTTCAATAATATTGTCATTCTTGCAGTCTTAATGTAGGATCAAGTAAACAGTATTCCTATTCTTGCTAGTTTCCAAGTAGAATAAAAAAGCATAGCCGGGCGCGGTGGCTCATGCCTGTAATCCCAGCACTTTGGGAGGCCGAGGCGGGTGGATCACGAGGTCAAGAGATCGAGACCATCCTGGTCAACATGGTGAAACCCCACCTCTACTAAAAATACAAAAAATTAGCTGGGCATGGTGGTGCGTGCCTGTAATCCCAGCTACTCGGGAGGCTGAGGCAGGAGAATTGCCTGAACCCAGGAGGCGGAGGTTGCGGTGAGCTGAGATCGCGCCATTGCACTCCAGCCTGGGTAACAAGAGTGAAACTCCGTCTCAGGAAAAAAAAAAAAAAAAGCATAATTAAAAGAGTGATAGGTAGAGATCAATATAGTCACCTTTATTTCTGAGGAAGCTTGATATTAAAGTGTGTAGCTGAAATGTGAGCCACATTGTGTCTGCTCACCAAACCTCACATTTAGCTCCCCAGTTCCAGCAACACCCCAAACCAGAGCAGGTCTTCCCAACACTCTGCCCACAATTAGAACAGGGCCTGTCTCTGGAGAAGCAAGGTTAGAATTTGTATTCTCTGCAGGTAGGCTAATCCCAAGAAGGTAGTGAATGGAACAGAGTTGAACTTAACCAGTTGATTCTTCCTAAATGTATTAGTCAGATAAGTTAGTTCACTTGAAGTTAATAGAGGGCCACAGAAGGGCTAATACTTAGTGTTTGAGTTCCTACCACAAGGGAGGAGGAATCATGAGCTGAGGATAAGTTCTTAACGGCTGTATTCATTTTAGAGTAAAGATGCTATATGTATATATTGGCATTTGTTGATTAGGTCACTTGATAAGGTGTAATTGCTAAAGTTTAATTTTTATTTTTGTTAGGATCTTCAGTATATTTCAGTTATTACTTTCTGCTTTTAGGCGTTTAAATGCAGAATTGCAGGCAAAAACAGCTGACGTGGTTCGACAAGCTAAGGAAATAATAGTAAGTAAATGTACAGTTATTAATAATTCCGTATAAGTGCTTGTGTTTTAACTTTTTAATTTGATGTATGATATATGTACAAAAAATTAGCCAAAGCATGAGTGTTCAGTTCAATGAATTATTATAAACTGAACATGAATATATATGCATAGGTATAGGTATGTGTGTATGTGTAAGTTTTTAATAAGCACACATTTTCTGAAAGCCACTGAAAAAGTATTTTCCATTTAGATGCACCAGTCATCTAAATTCTCATTGTAAATTATCATTATTAATTGATAGGATAGAGTAACTCTCGTTAGAGGTGTAAAGAGTCTACTTTCAAGCTTTCTACCAGTTCTTACCTAATTTTAATTCTTAATTTCTGCCTCCCCATCCCCCAAAATGGAGTTGATGGAACCAGGGAAGAAAACCTAGGCAATATTTTATCTTAATGCCTTGTACAAATAAATGATTATTTGTTAAGGAATAAGAAATGTATCATACATAACATTTAAAGTAACATATTTTGATAATGGCTACAGATTTGCTAGTTAGATTTATAATTAAATGTTTTACTAAAAATATTTTTATTTCACCTTTTAGTTTTTGCCAGTGTCTGAAGAGTAGGAAAATACTTGTACAAAAGGACCCCACATTATAGTAGAATGACAGATTATTACATTTTCTGCTTAGAGAGCCCCCTAAAAAGAATTTCTCCCTACAAATAAAAACATAATAGAAAACTGAGACAAGCTAGAAAAGGGGTTGAGGAGTGGATTCCCACCCCTGCAGAAGCGAACAATATAAGGTTTCTCCTATTTAATTTTTGTTTACTCTCTCTTTTTTAAAATTTTAATGTTTGTAGTTATATAGTAAGTGTGTATATTTATGAGGTAAATGAGATATTTTGATACAGGCATGCATTGTGTAATAATCACATCATGGAAAATGGGGTATCCATCCCTCAAGTATTTGTCCTTTGTGTTACAATCCAATTATACTCTTTAGTATTTTAAAATGTACAATTATTTTGACCATAATAAACCTGTGTACTCTCAAATGCTAGATACTATTCATTCTTTCTAACTATTTTTTTATACCCATTAACCATCCTTATCTCCCTCCCCTGCATCCCCCACTATCCTTCCCAACCTCTGGTAACCATGCTTAACTCTCTATCTCCACGTTAAGTTGTTTCGATTTTCAGATACCTCAAATAAGTGAGAATATGTGATGTTTGTCTTTCTGTGCCTGGCTTATTTCACTCAATGACTTCCAGTTACATCCATGTTGTTGCAAGTGCCAGGGCCTCGTTATCTTTTATGGCTGAACAGTACTCCATTGTGTATACGTACCACATTTTATTTATCTGTTCATTTGTTCGAGGACACTTTGGTTGCTTCCAGATCTTGGCTGTTGCGAATAGTGCTGTGACAAACATGGAAGTGCACGTATCTCTTTGATATACTGATTTCCCCTCTTTGGGGCATATACCCAGCAGTGGGATTGCTGGATCATATGATAACTTTAATTATTTGAGGAACCTCCAAACTGTTTCCTTTGTGGTTGTACTAATTTACATTCCTACCAACAGTGTACCAGGGTTCCCTTTTTCGACATCCTCACCAGCATTTGTTAATGCCTGTCTTTTGGATATAAGCCATGTTATCAAAGGTGAGATGATATTGTAGTTTTGATTTGCATTTCCCTGATGATCAGTGATGTTGAACACGTTTTTTAATGTCTGTTTGCTGTTTTTTTTGTTGTTGTTTTTTTTTTTTTTTTGAGAAATGTCTATTCAGATCTTTTGCCCATTTTTGAATTGGGTTATTAGATTTTTTTCCTATAGGGTTGTTTGAGCTCTGTATATTTTCTGCCTTGTAATCCTTTGTGATGAGTAGTTTTGCAAATATTTTCTCCCATTCTGTGGGTTGTCTCTTCACTTTATTGATTGTTTCCTTCACTGCAGAACCTTTTTAACTTGATGTGATCCCATTTGTCCATTTTTGCTTTGGTTACCTGTGCCTGTGGCATATTATTCAAGAAATCATTGTCTACTCCAATGTCCTGTTTCCCCAATGTTTTCTTCTTCATAGTAATTTCATAGTTTTAACTTCTTAGGTTTAAGTCTTTAATCCATTTTGATTTAATATTTGTATATGGGAAGAGGAAGGTTGTCTAGTCTTGCTCTTCTGCATGTGGATATTCAGTTTTCCCAGCAACGTTTATTGAAGAGACTGTCCTTTATCCAGTATGTGTTCTTGGCAACTTTGTCAAAAATGAGTTCACTGTATGTGTGTGGATTTGTTTCTGGATTTTTCTCTATTCTGTTCTATTGGTCTGTGTGTCCGTTTTTATGCCACTTCAGTGATGTTTTGGTTACTGTAGCTTGATAGTATAATTTGAAGTCAGGTAATATGATTTATCCAGTTTTGCTCCTTTTGCTTAACATAGCTTTGGCTGTTCTGGGACTTTGGCGATTTTGTATAAATCTTAGGATTGTTTTTTCTATTTATGTGAAAATGCAATTGGTATTTTGAAAGGGGTTGCACTGAGTCTGTTGATTGCTTTGGGTAGTATGGACATTTTAACAATACTGATTTTTCTAATCCATGAACATGAAATATCTTTTCATTTTTTTTGTGAACTCTTCGGTTTCTTGCATTAATGTTTTATGGTTTTTGTTGTGGCGATCTTTTACTGCTTTGGTTATGTTAACTCCTAGGTATTTAATTTTATTTGTGGCCCTTACTTTTTTATTTGTGAGATTACTTTTTTATTTTGTTTCCAATTGTTGACCATTGGCATATAGAAACGCTACTGATTTTTGTATGTTGATCTTGTATTCTGCAACTTTACTGAGTTTATCACTTCTAATAATTTTTGATGGAGTCTTTAGTTTTTTCCTAATATAAGAGCACACCATCTGCAAACAAGAATAATTTGAGTTCTTCCTTCTGATTTGAATGTCCTTTATTTCTTTGTCTTGTCTGATTGCTCTAGTTAGGACTTTCAGTACTGTGTTGAATAACAGTGGTGAAAATGGGCCAGTTCTTAAAGGAAAGGCATTCAGTTTTTCCCATTTGGTATGACACTAGCTGTGGGTCTGTCATATATAGCTAGTATTATATTGAGGTCTGTTCCTTTCATACCTAGTTTTTTAAGTGTTTATCATGAAGGGATGTTAAATTTTATGTAATGCTTTTCCAGGATCAGTTGAAATCATCATATGGTTTTTGTCCTTCATTCTGTTGATATGATGTATCACATTGATTGATTTGTGTATGTTGAACCAGCCTTGCATCCCTGGGGTAAATCCCATGTGGTCAGGGCAAATGATATTTTTAATGTGTTATGGAATTCAGTTTGCTAGTATTTTTTGAGGATTTTTACATCAACATTCATTAGAGAGATTGGTGTGTACTTTTCTTTTTTTGATGTGTCTTTGTCTGGTTTTGTATCAGGGTAACACTAGCCTCATAAAATGAGTTTGGAAGTACTCCCTCCTCCTCTAATTTTCGAAATAGTTTGGGTAGGATTGGTATTAGTTCTCTAAATGTTGGATAGAATTCAGCAGTGCAGTCATCATGTCCTGGGCTTTTCTTTACTGGGAAAATTGTTTTATTATGGCTTCAATCTTGTTACTTGTTATTGTTCTGTTTAGGTTTTGGATTTCTTATGGTTCAATCTTGGTAGGTTGTATGTGTGTGTCTAGGAATTTATTGGTTTCCTCTAGATTTTCCAATTTCTTGGCATATAGTTGCTCATAATAGCTACTAACGAGCCTTTGAATTTCTGCAGTGTCAGTTGTAATGTCTCATTTTTAATCTCTAATTGTATTTATTTGGGTTATCTCCCTTCTTTGTTACTCTGCTAATTTTGCTTATCTTTTAAAAAAAACGTTTTTGTTTCATTGATCTTTTCTTCATTTCAAATTCATTTATTTTTGCTCTGATCTTCATCTTTTCTCCTGGTAATTTTGGATTTGGTTTGCTCTTGCTTTTCTGGTTCTTTAAGATACATTGTTTGCTGGATGTGATGGCTGATGCCTGTAATCCCAGCATTTTGGGAGGCCAAGGCAAATGGATTACTTGAGCCCAGAAGTTTGAGACCAGCCTGGGCAACATGGTGAAACTCCATCTCTACAAAAAATACAAATTAGTCAGATGTGGTGGTGCATGCCTGCAGTCCCAACTACTTGGGGGGCTAAGGAGGAAGGATTATTGAGCCCAGGGACGTCCCGGCTGTAGTAAGCCATGATTGTGCCACTACACTACAACCTGGGCAACAGAGTGAATCTCTGGAGGAGAAAACAGAAAGGAAAAAAAAAAGATGCGTTGCTAATTCATTTATTTGAAATTTTTATTCTTTTTTGTTATAGGCACTTACAGCTACATGTTTCCCTCTTAGTACTGTTTTCAGTCTATCTCGTAGATCTTGGTATGTTGTGTTTCCATTATCATTTGTTTCAAGAAATTTCTGAATTTCCTTTTTAATTTCTTCATTGACCCATTGGTCATTTAGGAGCATATTGCCTAATTTCTATGTCTTTGTATAGTTTCCAAAGTTGTTCTTATTCTAGTTTTATTTCATGCGTTCAGAGAAGAAGCTTGATATTGTTTCAGTTTTTAAAATATTTTACAACTTGTTTTGTGACCTAAAATACATGGCCTGTTTTTGAGGAGGATATATATGCTGAGAAGAATAATGTGTCTTCTGTAGTCTTTGGATGAAATGTTCTGCAATGTCTGTTGGGTCCTTTTGTTCTGTAGTGCAGATTAAGTCTGATGGTTGTTGAATTTCTGGGAGAGCTGTTTAGTGCTAAAAGTGGTGCTGAGGTTTCCAGCTATTATTGTATTGTGGTGTAGCTCTCCCTTTAGCTCAAATAATATTTGCTTTATGTATCTGGGTGCTCCAGTGTTGTGACCATATATATTTACAGTGATTATATCCTGTTGTTGGGTGAACCCCATTAGCATTATATAATGACCTTCTTTGTGTCTTATTACAGTTTTTGTTTTGAAATCTATTTTGTTTAAGTATAGGTTCTCCTGCCTTTTTGTTTGTTTGTTTCCATTGGTGTAGAGTATCTTTTTCTACCCTTTTATTTTCAGTCTATGTATATCTTTATAGGTGAAGTGTGTTTCTTGTAAGCAACAGATCATGGGGTCTTGTTTCATCATCCATTCAGTCTATCTTTTGATTGAAGAATTTAGTCCACTTACATTGAGGGTTATTACTAATAAGGGACTTAATCCTGCCATTTCATTATTTGTTTTCTGGTTGTCTTGTAGTATCCCTTCCTGTCTTCTTTTTATTGAAAGTGATTTTTTCTTGTGGTATAATTTCCTGATTTTTATTTTTTGTGTGGTCATTGTATGTTTTTTGACTTAAGGTTACTGTGAGGCTTGCAAATAGTATCTTGTAAGCCATCAATCTAAGCTGATGACAAGTTGACACTGATTACATAAACAAACATGCAAAAAGAAAAGTAATAAAAACTCTGTACTCTTACCTCCCTAGTTTTTAACTTGTTCCTGTTTATCTCATTGTACTGTCTATGTCTTAAAAAGTTGTTGTAATTATTATTTTTAATTGGTTCATCATTTAGTCTTTCTACTTGAGAGTAGCTTATACACAGTTACGGTGTTATAATATTCTGTATTTTTCTATGTGTTCACTATTACCAGTGAGTTTTGTACCTTGAGATGATTTCTTCTTACTCATTAACATTCTTTTCTGTTAAAGAATTACCTTTAGCATTTCTTGTAGGACAGGTCTAGTGTTGATGGAATGCCTCAGCTTTTGTTTTTCTGGAAAGTTCTGTTATTCTCTTTCATGTTTAAAGATTATAAACTCTCTTGTTACAGCCCTGCCACCCCTTGCTGTGTGTGTACATATATAATTCTTTGTCCTTCATATGTGAAAGGTCCAGTGTTGGAATTCTTTGGTGTAAATAAACATTTAGTTTTATTCATCAAGGTTAGATTTTAAAATAATAATAATAATAATAAAGGCTATTTTTACTGGATAAACTATTCTAAGGTAAATGATTTTTTTTTCCTTTAGCACTTTAAAAACATCATGCCGCTGTCTCCTGGTCTGTAAGATTTGCACTGAGAAGTCTGCTGCTAGATGTATTGGAGCTTCTTTTTGTGTTCTTTATCTCTTGCTGTTTTTAGGATCGTTTCTTTATCCTTGACCTTTGCGAGTTTGGTTATTAAATGCCTTGAGGTCGTCTTTTTTGGTTTAAATCTGCTTGGTGTTCTATTATCTTCTTGTATTTGAACACTGATATCTTTGTCTAGGTTTGGGAAGTTCTCTGATATCCCTTCAAATAAACTTTCTACCTCTGTCTGTCTTTCTGTCTCTTCTTTAAGGTCAATAACACTTACATTTGCCCTTTTGAGTCTGTTTTCTAGATCTTACAGGCATGCATCATTCTTTTTTCTTTTGTCTCCTCTGACTGTATTTTCAAATAGCATGTTTTCAAGACTACTAATTCTTCTGCTTGATCAGTTCTGCTGTTAGGAGATGCTGATGCAGTCTTCAGTATGTCAGTTGCATTTTTAACTCCATAATTTCTGCTCAATCCTTTACAATTATTTCAATCTCTTTGTTAAATTTATCTGATAGAAATTTGAATTTCTTCTCTGTTATTTGAGTTTCTTTGAGTTTTCTCAAAACAGCTATTTTGAATTCACTGTCTGAAAGGTCACGTCTCTGTTTTTCCAGGATTCGTCACTGGTGTTTTATTTAGTTCATTTGGCAAAGTCATGTTTTCCCGAATAATCATGATGCTTGTAGATGTTTGTCAGTGTCTAGGCATTGAAGAGTTAAGTATTGTAGTGTTCACATTCTCGTCTTATTTGTGCCCATCTTTCTTTTTTTTTTTTTGAGATGGAGTTTCGCTCTTATTACCCAGGCTGGAGTGCAATGGCATGATCTTGGCTCACCACAACCTATGCCTCCTGGATTCAGGCAATTCTCCTGCCTCAGCCTCCTGAGTAGCTGGGATTACAGGCACGCGTCACCATGCCCAGCTAATTTTTTGTATTTTTAGTAGAGACGGGGTTTTCACCATGTTGACCAGGATGGTCTCAATCTCTTGACCTCGTGATCTACCCGCCTCGGCCTCCCAAAGTGGTGGATTACAGGCGTGAGCCACCGCACCCAACCTGTGCCCATCTTTCTTGAGAAGACTTTCCGTTTATTTGAAGGGACTTAGGTCCCCTACCCAATATCACTAGGATTCTGGTAGACTCTTAGAGGCCTTGGTGGTCTTGGATAAGAGCCAGAAGAATTCCCTGGGTTCTTGTTCCCTTCCTTTACTTTCTCCCAAACAAATGGAGTCTCTTTCTCTTTGTGCTGAGCTACCTGAAACGGGGGGTATGGCAATGCAAGCAGTCCCTGCACAGCACCACTGGGATTGTGCTGGGTCACACTTGAAGCCAGAAGAGCACTAGATCTTGCCTACAACCCGTTGTGAACACTACCTGGCTACCACCTATGTTCACTTGAGACCCTTGCACTCTACAATCAGCAGGTGATGAGGCCAGCCAGGTTTGTGTCCTTCTCACAAGCCCTGGGTGGGTCCACAGATGCTGTCTAGGAGTCAGAGATTAAAATTTAAAAATCTTAGAAATGTGTCTGGTGTTCTAGTGTTTTGTGGCTAAGCTGGCACTCAGACTACAACATAAAGTCCTTTCTGCTCTTCCCTTCCCTTTCCACAGGCAGAGGAGCCTCTCCTTGTCGTCACGACCACCATTAGTCCATAGCAGGGTTTTGCCAGGCCACTGCTAGTGTTCACTTAAAGCCCAAGGGCTTTTCAGTCAGGTTGTGGTGAATGCTGCCAGGCCTGGGACTCACCTTTCAGGGCAATGGGCTCCCCTCTGTCCCTGGGCAAGTCTGTAAATGCTGTCTAAGAGTCAACTCCTGGAAACAGGAGCCACAGGACCACAAGAGCCCACTTGGTGCTCTGCCCTGCTGTGACTGTGCTGATACATAAGGTGCAATGACAGAGGCCCCTTTACTTTTCCATCTGCCTTCACAAGCAGAAAGAGTAGTCACTGCAAGTGGGAATGTGCTGGGTCACCCCTGAAGTCAGTATGTCTCAGAACCCAAGGCCCATGGCATACTATTAATACCTTGGCATTGCTGCTGTTATTTTTGGCCCATGGTCTCTTTGGTACACAGATGATGAATGCTGTCAGAACTGGGTCCTTCCCTTCAAGGCAGCAGCTTCTCTCTTGGCCCAGGGTGTGTTTATATATGTCATTCAGGAGCTAGGGCTTATAATGGTGGCCTAGTGACTGTACCTGGCACCATATTGGCTGCCTTCCATGGCTGAGGTGGTATCTAAGATGCAAGACAACATCCTCTTTTTTCTCTTCTTTCCTCTCCTTAAACAGAAGGAAGAAGCTACTTTTGTTGCTGCAAACTGCACTGGCTGGTGTTGGGGAAGGCGTGGTGTAAGCAATCCTTTAGTGCCCCAGTTGATGTCTCCCTAGGTTACAGTTGGTGTCTCTCTAGGTCCCACCCTAGTCCTCTGGCTCTGAGCTGAGCTCAGCACTAGGAGTTGCCTAGAAATTGGAATCCCTGTGTCCTTGACTGCCCTTCAAGTTTACCTAGGACCCCAGAGCACTTTGCCCTGTGGTGGTGAGACTTGCTGAGAAACTTAAGTTCTGACCCATAGGATGGGCAGTTTTTCCTCTGGCTATAGCTGGTCCAAATACTTCCTCCATGCATAGGTACTGCGTTAGCCCCACATGACCTTCCTCTCCTCTCTGACGAGACAACACTGAGTTTAATGTACAGTCCCCCAGTCACTGTGCTCTCCCTCCCCAATGTGCACAGACTCTTTAGGCTGCACAGGCACTGCAGGAGGGAGTCAGAGAGGGGTGGTGTCAGCGATTTAAGACTATCTGTCCAACCTTCTTCAATGTCTCTTTCAAAGATATGAAGTTAAATCCAGGTACTGTGATTGCTCACCTGATTTTCAGTTCTTGTGATGGTGTTTTTGTGTTCAGGTAGTTGTTAAAATCTGGTGTTCCTGCAGATGGTATGAACAGTGTGGGCTTCTATTTCACCATCTTGCCTCACTTTCATTTCTTGATGTGTCTTTGCCAAAAGCTTTTACTACTGATACATCATTTTTAGCATTTTCACATTTTAGCATCTTCTCAATATTAAGTTTTTCCCAATATAAGTTTTTCTGCCCATTAAGTGAATTTATTTTTTTCATTTCTTGTGCCTCCTAATTTCCATTGTGTGCTGTATAAGGTGGAAGGCTCTAAAGAGATGGGGAAGCCGGAGTTATAAATATTATGTAAAGGCCTTGATATTCTTACATTTTCTACTTAGGATGGAATTTTTTTAACCCAGAACAAATGGAAGGTACAACTAGTATTATAGACTTTATCTTCATACTACAGCATATAGAATTCTGTTCCTTTACGTTATGGAAACCTTGGACAGTTCTGAAATGATGAGTGTTCAGAGAGGCACTTGAATATATCTTAGTGGCTTGTTTTTTTTTCTACGTGATATATGACCTATCTTTACTCATTTAAGAGAGATCGGCAAGAAGTACGATCTAGGCCTCTTTCAACACAAGTGAAATCATGTGATGACAAAGATGATTATAGTTTAAGGTAAGTAACTTAAATTCTCAAACACCTTTAATTTTAATGATGTGTATGGATCTTTTACTATGTAAGATCTTTTTGCATGTAACATTGAAAATCTACCATTTGAAGAATAATGTTTTTATAGGGGGCTTATACCAGTAAGATACAGTGCAAGCCCTTTACCTTCTTTATCTCATGTAATTTTCAGAATATTACTTTGAAATGTATATTCTTGTCTTCATTTCAAAAACTTTAGAGGAAACAGGAAAAGTGTAGAACCTATGTCATTAATTAACTATGAAATCAGACTGTAGCGGAGGCAATCATGATCACCAAATGTTCCAAGTCTCTTACAGTTGTCAGTGGGCTATGAACAGAAATTTAGTTAATCTCTTCCAAGCCAGAATAGATAAGAATTGGTGAGCGAATGTCCAGCTGACTTTCCATGCCATGCAGATGAGTAGAATTCCAATTGGTAAATTCTCCTAGCCTGGTCTCTGGGTGACCATATGTGGAACATGTTGAAAAAACAGCTTTTCTCCCCCTCTGCTGCTATATTGAATCAATGAAGCCACTGGAATTTTCAGGTTACTATCCTGCTTGTTTTTGCTAATGTTGAAATTGGTATTGGGATTGGAATGCTGTGTAAAAAAACTCAGAAGTATGGCATTACCTTAGCAGTTAGGGAAGAGCCAGCAAGGAAACTGATACTGGGGGGTGAAAAGATAGAGGATTAATGTTACATAGCAGCAATGAATGTAGTAAAACTGACATTTGTGGTAATTTGGGAGGCACAGCAGTGGTCTAATGAACTTGTTCTCTAGGGAAAGAGGATGGAACACAGAATATTAGCAGGATGTACTCTTAAAGAGACAACTTTGGGAAAGAATTGGCTGATTTGCAAGCAGAAATAAAAGAGAATACCTGATTATCTAATTCAGAGGCACAAAGATTTACAACCATGATTTCTTTGAAGAGCTTTATGGTTTTAACTCTTACATTCAGATTCTTTGATCCATTTTGAATTAATTTTTGTTTGTGATATTAAGCCAACCTCCATTCTTTTGCACATGGATATCCATTTGTTCAGCATTATTTGTTGAGAAGACTATTCTTTCCCCATTGAATGTTCTTAGCACTCTTGTCAAAAATCAGTTGACCACAGACATACGGTTTTTATTTTTGGACTTTGATAAGTGTTCCACTGATGTATATAGCTGTGATGACAGTAGCACACTCTTGATTGCCCTTGTTGTAATTGTGGAGTTGTGAAGTAAGGTGGTTTTAGACCTCAAGAATTACAATGTAAAATTGAGAAAATGTTTCAGGAACAGAAACCTATCAAAATTCAGCCTTGAGGCAAATATCAGACTAAACATGTGGACTTCATGACCACTGATAAAATTTTTCAATGGATTCAGGCTCCTCAGGGAAAGGATCAGATTAAATGGCACATGGTAAAACTTTTTATTTGGATAAAATGACCCACGACAAAGACCTAACTACAGCTATAGTCTCTCCTTAGAAGCTTGACAGTATACAAGTAACCCATTTTTAAATTGAGAAAGAGAGGCCAGGTGAAGAAATAAATAATTAGTCCTGAAAAGAATTGTAGGTGATGTAATGGCATGTAGAACTGACTGAAATTAGGGAAGAAACTCACTAATTTGGGGGAAGTTTTATTGGCAAACTTTAAGAATGGACTAAAATTATTTGTGGCTTTAAAAATATTAAAATAACTATGGGTCTCCCACCTCCCAGTATTCCGAGATTAAGAAGCAGGCTGTAAGAGCTGCATGGCCCTACAGGGTTTAGAAACAAAAGAGAAGTTTATTACTGACATGGGAGAATATTTGGCTCATGTGAAATATTGGGACATTATTCATTTATTCAAAAATAATTATTGCATGTGATCCAGTATTTCTCTTCCTAGATATTTACCCAAGAGAAATATAGACATATGTTCACAAAAAAACCTGCATGTAAATTTTTAGAGCAGTTTTAATAATAATTACCAAAACTTGGAAATATTTTAGTATTTATCAAATGGTGGCTGGATAAACAAATTATGGTGTATCCATGCAATAGAATACTACTTGGCAGTAAAAAGCAATGAACTACTAATAGAATAATAACATAGTTGTTAAGTGAAAGAAGCCAGGCTAGAAAAGCTACATAATCTATGTTTCCACTTATTTGAGGCTCTGGAAATGGTAGTACTTTAGGGACAGAAGTCAAAAGTGGTTGTCTGGGGTTTGGGTAGGGGTTAGGGGACTAACAAACAGCACAAGGGAACTTTTTGAGATGATGGAAATACCCTGTCTTGGTGGTGGTTGTGTTTATGTGACCATATGCATTTGCTAAAATGTATTGAACTGTATACTCAAAAGAGTATATTATATGAGATATCAATCATAAACCTGAAGGAAAAAAATTTTTGAACACTGTGTCAGGTCTAGTTACTGGTATTACACTGGTGAGTAAACAGACCTGATCTTCCAAGAAGTTAATGTGTGTTGCTTTTGAGTATTTTTAAAGTACATCAATTAAATATGTTTATATTTTGATATACATATTTTTGTGTACATATAACATGAAACCACTTATCCTTATTATATGTAATACTCTGATATTCTATGAAAAAAGATATTTAAATTATCAGAATTCCAAAATTTAGATTATATGTAAGATTAGACATGGCATTTGTCCAGTAAATTAAAGAACTGAAATGATGCTAACAGAAGATGATGTTCTTGTGATGCTCTATTTACCTAGATCAGATAGTTTTTTTCTCTTATTGTTACTATTTGAACAGATGGCTTTTACCATGTAAAACATGGCATTTGGTGAACAGTTGGGAATGGCTGAATATGGGAGATAATTCTATGAAGAAGCCATTCACTTCAGGTTGGAACAATGATATTCTACCTAAATAATTATAGTTAGGAAGAGTATATTATAATAGGTCTTCAACATTCAGGATGACTCTGTCAAAAAATGTGATGGGGAAACCAGAGTTTAGTTTTCTAATAACACAGTATACATATCTTCCAGTCAGCCTGGAGCATGGTTTACCATACAGTCATTTCCATCGCATTACAAACAAACGTTGCATGGAGTTAAACAACAGTAAGAAGACCATATTATAGCTCATTTTTGACAGAAATACACTAACAAAGTAATATCACTGCGAAACCTGATGGAGACATATAACCCTTAAATGTCCTTTGGCTGATATGTATGCATGTGTGTTCGGGAATGGAATGAAAGGTACAGAAAATGTATTAAGGAAATAACAAACATTAATTTCAAATGAGGAAGATTAAAGAGGGCACTTAAAATTTGTATAATATTTGGAAACATTTTCATGTCCTTTGTGAGAATGATTCTTTAGTTTCTGTAATTTTTAACATATTTTGAAAGCCTTTTTTTCTTCCCAGAGATATTTCTAATAGTTAAGAAGTTTATCCAAGTATATCTTTGCATTTAATACTGAAAAAATTTATGCATGGCTATCTCAGCAGGAGGTATCTGATGGAAAATAATTTTAGTTGTATGTCCCCTATAATGGTTAGGAGTTCTCAGCAGATATGGTGGAGTTTCTTCATAGCAATAATAGATGCTAACATGGTATGTTTTCAGAGATACTAATACAGTGCCCGAGACTATAGATCAGGGTTAGGCAGACCTTCTGTAAAGGGACAGATAGCAAATATTTTTAGATTTGTGGGCTATATGGTTTGTGTTGTACCTCCTTAACTTTAAGACTATAGTGTGAAGAGAGCCATAGATAATATATAAATGAATGAGTGGGTGGATTCAACCTGTGGGACATAGTTTGCAGACCTCCATAAATACTCCTTGTTTTAAACTACAAATATATTTTGAAAACCTTGTGTATAAAAACGAATTGCATTTTGGGTGTAGCTATTCATGCACTCAGCAAATACTTATGCCGGTAGTACCTGGCATATAAGCTTTTAAATGGACTAGGTATAAAATATTGTACAGGACAGACATGATTTCCACCCTTGCAGAGTTCACAGTATAATGAGGAAAACAGGCACTGGCCAAATGTTTAAGTGCGTTAGAAGAACCGTAACATTGAGTGGGCTCACAATAAAAAGCCCTGTGGTGAATTGTTTGTAAAATGAGTAACTGGGGTGGATAGCCAGTAATCACTCTTTATAATTTCCATTCATTAAAATTTTTGCTACATTTTCCTAGAAGAATATTGGCATTATATTGTATCTTCTCAAAGGCAAATTATATAACCAAAGCATTTTTCTTGTTTACAGTACTCATTCAAAATAAATTAGCATGTGGATAACTGGAATTATAGCAAAGTCTACTTGATTGTTCAGTGTTTTCCCTTTCAAATATAATTGTTGAATTTCATTGTCTCAACTCAGTGTCATCTGTTACCAGTGTATAATATTTATTTTTGATCTGTAGAGGTCCATTACCATCCGAAGGGATAGTTCATCTTCATTCAGAAACGAAGGTATGAAATCAAACTTTCTGTGAGTTCAGTTACATTTTGTAGAACTTAGGTTATTTTTCAGCCTTTTTTAGACAAAGAGAAGGGGTATGACTCAACAGAAATAGAATATCAACCTTGATACTCAGAGGGACACATTTGTGAAATGTCACTCATAAAATAAATGGAATCCTTTGTTGTCTCATAATTTCACTGAATAATTTGGAGGTACAGTGGAAAAAATTCTAGGTGAAATGACTTTGTAAACTGAGGGTTTTTGTTTTTTTCTCTGAAGCTTAAATCTAGTAGAAGAATTGAAAAGAATGATACTCATATACAAAGAAGGTGATTTGAAAAGTATTTATTTATTTAAATATTTACAGTGTAGAGATCACTCTTCCAGGTGTAGAGCATACTGGGATCTATGTTTCCCACCCATGGAGACCTAAGCCGAGGGAAATGTATACCTGAAGGGCACCAAGGCCTGCCTGGGAAATAACTGGTTCATGAGGAAAATTAAAATCTGTGAATCAGAACGTCCAGATTTATTAATGACATTCCACTGGCTAGCTGAATACCTTTGACTCTTTAGGACTCATTTTCCTGATCCTTGAATTTCTTGGTTCTGGTGTTATCTAGGTCTTTTCCAGCTATATAGTTATGATATTTCTGAAAATACATTTTTATTAATTCCATGAAAATAGCGGTTTTTCTGTGTAGCAAAATAGCAATTCTTTGTGTTACTGTATTGCTTTCTTTAGCAAATGATTAGACTCTAATTAATAAAGACTTTCAATTCTTTTCATGTAGCCAAAGACCAAAAACATTGATCCTGTAAGCAAGGTTCAAAACAAATTACACTCTGCAAATAAAGGAAGGAAAACAAATTCAAGGTAGAGTATAGTTTTCAAAGTATTTCTTTTTTTAGTTTCGTAATTCACAATACCATCATTCTTAATTATTAATCTCTTTCTGTTTCTCCAGATCTTTTTATACCCTAAACATAAAGTTTCACCACTTATATCTTACCCACATTCAGTAACTTAGAACATTTTCTACTCAGAAATGTTTTGTAGCAATTAGCAGATATTTTATATTGTTCCATTAAGCCAACTTTCTAAATTAAAAAATTTTATATATGTTATTTCTAGTGAGTTATTTTCTTAGAACTGTGACTACAACTGAGGGGTTTTCTTGGTGTGTGTGTTAGGGGGTTGTTTGTTTTTTTATCTCTGCCTAGTTCTCCCAAATGGGCTAGCTAGTCTAGTTTTTGAGTATTTGACAAAGTGCACACATTATTTTGTCTTTTGAGCTGCAGAATGATTTGGCATGCTCTTAATAGGACTATAGTATAATTATAATTTTCATTTTGTTGTTTATGGTGAGAAAGAATTCAAGACAGTGCTTAGTATTATAACCATAAAATGGGACCCAAGATGCTCCCAGGGATAGGAGGCTTTCTAGCAAAGGTGGGGGATTGGGTTGTACCAACCTTCTTAGTAAGTTTTAAAATTTATATGTCCATTACTTACCCAGACTGATAATTGCATTATAATTCTGGAAAAGTTCTTTGTTCATTTTTGTGTCTTTTGTTTAAATAATTTTTTTTTAATAAAAGGGAGGGAAAAAGTGAAGTGATGAGGAACAGAAAATAACTATACAATAGATTTCAAAAAAGAATATACACGATACATACAAGTATATGTAACTGGGAAGGGCTATCTTTTCAAATGTCACATTTTGTTTTTTTTAAAAAATGTGGTTTTTCAAATAGAATTCTGAAGCCCAAGACCTATTTGATAGAACAGTAGGGTGACTGTAGCCAATAATAACTTAATTGCTTTTTTAAAATAAGGAGTGTAATTAGATTGTTTGTAACTCAAACAATAAATGCTTGAGATGGATACCCCCTTCTCCATGATGTGCTTATTTCATATTGCATTCCTGTATCAAAGCATCTCGTGTACCCCATAAATATGTATAACTTCTGCGTACCCACAAAAAAATTAAAATGAAAAGAATTCTGAAGCCTTTGCTTATGTTTTAAGAGTGAATTTGGCTTTCAGAACCATAAATCTGTTTTTGTGTCAATGAATTAGGCCTGGCCCATTTTCAGTGCCTTTAGAAATGAATTTTATTTTGTCTTACTTCTCCATTTCATTAAAAAAATCAAACCCAACTTTTTGTTTAATATTGATCGCAATAAGAATGTGTTTCTTTGTGTGGATAAAATGTTCTTTGATTGAGCTAATAGCGCTTCACTCTGTAATTCTTTCTCAAGAGGTATTTTTCTTTGCTGTTTGCAGAATTATGGCCAGGGTGATGTCAATTTGTACAGTTTTTCTCCAGAAGCATGTAAATTTAAAAGCTACAGGCTGGATTTGACCTAGTAGGCCAAGGGCAGTACTCTTAGTTTTGGTATTCTCTTATTTGGAGGCAAAGTCCAGACTATCTGGCCTCATAAAGCCTTTTCTAGCTCTGGTCATGTGATTTATAAAGACCAAAAACCTGCTAATTCTCTTATAATATAGTCCTTGAAAGTATCATATGTAGACATCATCGTAAATTTAAAATGTGTAATAGTAGTCTCGTAATATAATCCTTAAAAATATTAATTACAGATTTCACCATATATTTAAATTTATAATAATTTTCATCTGTTTATTTGGGTAAAAGGCATGTATCTTTTCTACCTTCCTATTTTGTTCATAGGTATGTATGTACATACATATTTAATTTTTATTTTTTAGTGTTAAATTGAAATATTCTGATGTACAGACTGCCAACGATGTTGTCATTCCAGAGGATTTTTCAGACTTTTCCCTTGCAGAAACATTTAGCAAAATTGAAGGGCAACTGGAGGAAGAAGGCTTACCTGAATATATAGATGACATTTTTTCTGGTGCTAGTAACAACATTGGAGCAGGTAGATTTTCTTTTGTTTTTTATTTTTATCTTTATAGCACAGTTACTTAGAAAAAGAAATACTGGGGAACGATTTCTTAAATTTATAAAATGTATTGTGATATCTTGGTTTGTTTCAGAATAATCTAGTAGGATATGGTGGAGGGAGGAATGAATGGGATTATAGATGAAATAAAATCAGCCATCAGTCAGTTATTGTTAAAGATAGGCAGTGGGGTAAGTCGGGATCATCGAACTCTCCTACTTCTGTTTATATTTCATATTTTCCACTATAAAAAGGAAAAATAAAAAAGACTGTATTATACTGGTTTGATTGAATACATTTCAACTTAAAGTACCCATTCCTTATGGTTAAAATATTAAAGTTTTTCTGAATTCTTTTCATTTACTGTTGCTCAATTTTATTTAGTTAAATCAACACATGCAAAAGGACAAATGAATTGACATTCCATCAGATAAAATCATCAAATGAGTTTTCTAATGAGTATAATTTTTCTTAACTCATCCTTTGCATATCACTAGAATAATAGTACTAAATTTAGATCAACTAAAAACATTACTGAATTTATGAGTAGCCTCCTATGCTATTGAAACAAAGTAAGTTTAGTATATATGGACTAGTTACTGCTGAACTACAATGCAATTAACTGTGACTACAGGCAAGGCACTTAGCCCCTCTGTAATACCAATTTATTCATTTGAAAATTTAGCAGTTTGTATTAGATGATCATAAAGTTTACGTATTGTTTGTTCCTACACTTCTGTAAATACCTGAGACTGTGAAATTTATAAAGAAAAGGTTTAATTGGCTCGCAGTATTGCACGCTGTATAGGAAGCATGGCAGTTTCTGCTTCTGGGAAGGCCTCAGGAAACTTCCAGTCATGGCAGCAGCCAAACAAGGAGTGAGGAATCTCACCTGGTGTGAGTAGTGGTGCACTGTTGGCTCAGTGCAACCTCCACCTCCCGGGTTCAAGCGATTCTCCTGCCTCAGCCTCCTGAGGAGCTGAGACATGCTTTTAAACAACCAGATCTCAGGAGAACTCACGGTCATGAGGACAGTACCAAAAGAGATGATACTAAACCATTCATGAGAAACCACCTCCATAATTCATTTACCTCCCACTAGGCCTCACCTCCAACACTGGGGATTACAATTCATCATGTGATTTGGTTTGGGACACGGATCCAAACCATGTCAGTTTATCTTTAAAATTCTCTGATTCTGTGAAAAATCTTAACAATTTATATGTGTAATAATTATTGTGCTACATACTAGTCATAAGGGAGCAATTTACTTCTGCACTTACTGTATTTACTAACCTAATCAAGCTAGGGGTAGTTAGGGTAAGGGATGGTAAGTGGAGCAGTAAGTTGCCTTTAGGTCTCTTTTGATGCTTTTGAGAAAGACATTGATCATTCCTTGGTAGAGGAACATGGTGACAGGTCTCATGGCCCTGTTATAACTTTGTCCCCTCCTCTGTTTTCTTTTTCATATCTTTGGCCTAGGTGTCTTCCCTTTTGGGAAAGTTTCCTCTTATTTCAGATGATTGCTTGGAATGGTTTGGTTATATGTGGGTGAAAAAGATAAAGTAGTTTGGGAGCACAGATTACTTTGTAAGATTAAAGCTAGGGTCAAGTGAGGAGCAGAGGTTATTGCCGTGGGCCTCCAGACATGGGAGCACTCAGCTTCTTGAGTTAGGGTTGAGATAGAGTTACTAAGGTTAAAGTTAGGGAGAAAAATGAATGGAAAAAGTCATGCTTTCCTGTTTTTTCTTCCTTCTTTCCCCCAGAGGCCAACTACTGCCAACTTTACATTTTTTAATTCTTCATTTCCCTCTATTCCCTACTCACCTGGAGTTACATGAGAGACTGGAAGGAGAGTTAAGGCCACAGAGACCTAGGTAGGGTTAGAGGCAACCAAAATTCATCAGCTCCATGGTAACACTGAGGGCACTTCAAAACAGCTGGAAGTGTGTATGGAGATGTTTTATGTTTCACATGTCACATGCGTATGGCTTAGTGGAATTTGTCCTAATGACTTGTCAGAGCAGTTCCAAGTGTTTCCTCAAGAAAAGTTCCATGACGTGTTAAGGGTTGTTTTATAATATACCTACTATGCCATATAGTCTCCGCTGTGATAGTAGACACTTGGTGTTTTTTAAACAAATGACTGAATGACTTACGAGTGCCTTCTAAGTTCAGTTTTTACTTTATTTACTTTATGGGCCTATAAACTTCAAAAAGATTTACTGCTGATATTATTGAATAATGAACTTTTGCTGGCAGTGAAGTACCAAAGATAGATCTTGAAGGTTTGTGGGAGAAAGCTTAGACAGTAAGGTATTAGTGTATTTCTTTGCTTCACAAACACATATACTACATTTTAACTTCTCAGAAATTGGGATCTCTGTTACAGTCAATGACATTTTGTAATCACAAGGGCTGGATTGAAGCTGAGTTTTGTTAGAGAAGATTTATGTCTGTGCCTGTCAAACACTCCGGGTCATTAGACCTGAGACCACTTTAAATTCTCATATGTAATTTGGATCACCCTGATGAGCGTGAATCAATCTGCAAACTTAAGTGAATTGTTTCTTTCTGTTGAGTGGATTTATTCCTCATTGACCTTTACGTTAGGACTGTTTGTGCCTACAGTGCCCCCTAACAGATAATCTCCTATTAGACTCCCCATCTTGAGTATTTTCTTCTTTATAAAGTAATGGTCTGTCCTACAATTGAGGTCATCTTAGATTCAGCAAAACTCAGTAAATTTAATTATTTAAATTCACAGAAGCACAGCTCAGATTTCTAAAGGCCAAAGTCCATGTTATGCAGGAAGAATTGGATAATGTTGCATGTGAATGCAATAAAAAGGTAAGTTTTGAAAACCTCTTAAAAGGCTCTAATATTCAAAGACATTATAGGGCAATTTCAATTACATTTTTTGAATAGCTTTATTTAGATATAATCATAGTTAAATTTTGAATTCAAAAATTGTATATAAGTACTGAACTTTATTCTGAGATGAATTTTCACAGAGCTGAAATATCTTAAATTCTTGTCACAATTAGAATTCTCTTATAAGTGGTAGTGTAAGCTATTAAATGCAAATAAAACATTTGACTTCCATTTTTGAAGACAGACAGTGATTTGTTTTTCATGAAATGTGTATAAATATCAAAGAACATAGGAAGCTTCTTTTTGTTTTCTGCTTTGTTTTGATACCAAGTCTTATGTTTTTTCACATAATCTATAATTTCATAACTACAGGAGGATGAAATTCAGAATTTAAAGTTACAAGTAAAAAATTTTGAAGAAGATTTTATGAAACAGCAGCGAACAATTCATATGCAACAGTCTCAAGTTGAAAAATATAAGACTCTTTTCGAAGAAGCAAACAAAAAGTGTGATGGATTACAGCAACAGTTGTCTTCAGTAGAAAGGGTAATTATTTTGGTATTTTTTCTAACTTAATTCCAAAGATACAATAAAATTATTAATATTACACATTTGTATAGATGCCATTTTGACAGTTCAGTTATTTCATTAGGATTTACTGAAAACTCTTTCCCCTTACAGAGAATATTTTTCAACAACTTTATTGAGATGTATGTAAGTCTCCCTTTTAAAGTATACAATTCAGTGGCTTTTGGTGTTTTCATAGAATTGTACACCTGTCACTACAACCAATTTTCATAATCCCTAAAAGACACTTCATACCCTTTAGCCACCACACCCTGACCCTGCTCCCCTCAATCCCTTACAGCCCTAGGCAACCACTAATCTATTTGATATCTCAATAAATTTGTTTGTTCTGGAAATTTCCTATACATGGAATCATATAATATGTGGTCTTTTGTAACTGACTTTTAAAGATATTTTTAGGGTTCATCCACGTTGCAGCACCTATCCGTACTTTATTTCTTTTTAGTGACAACTAATATTCTGTTATATGGATATAATACATTTAATTTATCTGTTTATCAATTGGTAGCTTTGGGTTATTTGGGTTGTTTATACTGTTTGGCTGTTTTAAACCCTACTTTGAATATTCATGTATAAGTTTTTGTGTGGATATATGTTTTCATTTCTCTTGGTTATATAGTGAGGAATGGAATCGCTGGGTCATATGGAAATGCTATGTTGACCTTTTGAGGAATTGCCGACTGTTTTCCAAACTGCCCATACCATTTTACATGCCTACCAGTAGTGCATGAAGGTCCTAATTTTTCCACATCCTCACCAACATCTACTAGATTATCTTTTTGATTATAGCCATACTGCAGGTGTAAAGGGGTTACCTCATTGTGGTTTTGATTTGCATTTACCTAGTAACTAATGATACTGAACATCTTTTCATGTGCCTGTTGGCATTTGTGTATCTTCTTTGGATAAATTTCGGTTAAGATCTTTATCCATTTTTTAAATTAAATTTTTAAAAATTACTGAATAAGGAGAACTTTTAAGTTCTTGATGTATTTAGATACAAGGCCCTTATCAGAGACATGATTTGCAGATCAGATACTGAAAGATAGTGGGTTGTCTTTCACTTTCTTTATCGTACTCTTTGGGGCACAAAAGTTTTAAATTTTGATGAAGTCCAGTTTATCTAATATTTATTTGGTTACCTTTGCTTTTGGTGTCATATCTAAGGAGAGAATGTATTTTAAATAAACTATCCTACCTTTAAAAATTTTTTATTAGTATACCATTGTGATAATATGCTGTTTGAGATTACTTTGTAAAATGTAGTGACAATAACTATGTAATTTAGCACATCTGAGATTTAGTAGGAAAATGTGCCTCCTTCATTAGTACCTCATTACATTTCTCTTTCGTACGGTCATATTTTAAAACCCTGCTTTTTAAACATCTTGGTCTTGTATAATTAGCATTATCTGGTAATAAATTTTAGTATCAGATGCACTTAGATATAATTTGTATGCAATAAATTCACACTTCTTAGTGTACAATTCTATGAGTTTTGACGCATGCATGCAGTAGTATGAATATCACTATAATTGAGACATAAAACAGTTCCATCAACCCCCAAAAATTCTCTGTGAATTTAGTCAAGGCCTTCCCTAATCCCAGCCCCAGGCAACCACTGATCTGTTTTTGGTTCTGACATTTTGGCCTTTTCTCAAATGTCTCAGAAGTAGAATCACATAGGATATAGCCTTTTGAATCTGTTTTTTTCAGTGAACATAAAACATTTGATGTGGTTTGGCTATGTCCCACCCAAATTTCATCTTGAAGTCCCACTTGCTGGGGAAGGGAGCTGGTGAGAGGTAATTGAATCATGGGGACAGGTCTTTCCTGTGCCGTTCTTATGTAGCGAGTAAGTCTCAGGAGATCTGATGGTTTTAAAAAAGGGAGTTTCTCTGCCAAGCTCTCTCTTCGCTTTTCTGCTGCCACTGAGACGTGCCTTTCACCTTCCAACATGTTTGTGAGGCCTCCCCAGCCATGTGGAACTGTGAGTCCATTAAACCTTTTTCTTTTGTAAATTGCCCAGTCTTGGGTATGTGTTCATCAGCAGTGTGAAAATGAACTAATACAGGGAATTGGTACCAGTAGAGTGGGGCGCTGCTGAAAAGATAGGCAAAAATGTTGAAGTGACCTTGGAACTGGGTAAGAGGCAGAGGCTGGCAAAGTTTGGAGAGCTCTGAAGAATACAAGAAAATGAGGGAAAGTTTGGAACTCTCTAGGGACTTGTTGAATGTCTTTGACCAATATGCTGATAATGATACGGACAATGAAATCCAGGCTAAGGTGGTCTCAGATGGAGATGAGGAACTTGTGGGAAACTAGAGCAAAGGTGACTCTTGTTATGTTTTAGCAAAGAGACTGGTGACATTTTGCCCGTGCCCTGGAGATGGAACTTTGAACTTGAGAGAGATGATTTACGGTATCTGGTGGAAGAAATTTCTAAGCATGAAAGCACTCAAGAGGTGACTTGGTGCTGTTAAAGACATTCAGTTTTAAAAGGGAAATTAAGCACAAAAGTTTGGAAAATTTGTAGCCTGACAATGCAGTGGAAAAGAAAATCCCATTTTCTGAGGAGAAATTCAAGCTGGCTACAGAAATTTGCAAATGTTAATACCCAAGACATTGGAGGCATTGTTAATACCTAAGACATTGGGGTATTTATTATTTACAAATCTCAAGTGTAATGCATTTTCTCCTCTCACTTTCTTTTTTTTTTTTGAGATGGAGTTTCGCTCTCGTTACCCAGGCTGGAGTGCAATGGCGCGATCTCGGCTCACCACAACCTCTGCCTCCTGGGTTCAGGCAATTCTCCTGCCTCAGCCTCCTGAGTAGCTGGGATTACAGGCACGCGCCACCATGCCCAGCTAATTTTTTGTATTTTTAGTAGAGACGGGGTTTCACCATGTTGACCAGGATGGTCTCGATCTCTTGACCTCGTGATCCACCCGCCTTGGCCTCCCAAAGTGGTGGATTACAGACGTGAGCCACCGCGCCTGGCCGTCCTCTCACTTTCTAAGAAGCCAATTCCCTCTCCCACTTTTAGACATGATTATTAAACAGTTGGCCTTTTTTCCTCAACTTTTCAATACCCCTTCCTACCTCCTTATACTTGGCTCATGACTTTGCCCCCTTTTTCTTAAGGAAAGAGAATCAAAAGATAACATCATCCTTTCACTAAAATCTACAACCTCTCTGCCTCTGTGCCACTCGCCACTCCAGGTAACAGCGAATTACTCCCTCTTTTGTCTAAAGCTGATCCATTCACTTGTGTACTAGATTCCATATAGTCTCTTCTACTCGAAGACTTTGCGCCGGCAATTGTTCTTTCTCTCGCAAAATCAAATTTACTCTTATCAGATTATTCTCATTAATGTGCAAACATGCCATAGAATCATTCATATATTTATTTTAAAACTTCTTTAGATCTTATATCTACTTTCAGTCCTATAGCATTGCTCCTGTTTGTAATGAAGCTTTCCAAAATTATTGTTTATACTCAATGTCTTTATATCTCATGTGCCATTTTCTCCTGAAAATACTTCTGTTAGGCTTCCATCTCTACTCTGCCATTGAAAGTACTCTTTAAAAGGTCACCAATTGTAGTTGTGGTCCATTGTAGTGGTCAGCTGTTCCTCACAGTGGTCCTTCATTGTTCCTATTGTCTGGGAATTCTTTCCCCAAGAGCTTTGATTATTTGATTTGATAATTTGATTATTATCTCAGCAATATTTGACGTAGTCAATTACTCTTTTGAAACACTATTTATTCAGCTTCTGGAGCACCACAATCATGATTTTCCTGGCCTTACGTGGCGGAATGCCCAAGTCTCTTCTCTGTTTATATCTAAACCTTAGATGATCTCATTCAGTTCCATGGCTTTATAGACCATCTGTATGTTGATAACTTCACCTTTCTGTTTCTTGCTCTTTCCTCTTCATTTCTGCCCACTTGATGTCTCAACTGTTTGTTAAACTTCACATATCCTAAAGGAAACTCTTGCTTCCCTGCCCTCAGCAAACCTGCTTCTCCTCCTTTTCCCTCTCTTAGTAAAAGGCATTTGTTCAGTCTAATATTGAGGAGTCATCTTGATCTACCTCTTTTCCTGTATCCAGATCCAGCTCATCAACAAGTCCCATCAATTCTGTCTTCAAAATACATAGAATAAACCACTTCTCAAAACGCTCAGTACTTCTACCCAAGTCCTAGCCACTATCTTCTACTTATTCTAATAGCCTCCTAGATTGGTAATACCACAGTAGCCAGAGTAATCCTTAAGTCAGATCATCACACACACATATGCATACACACTGAAATTCTCCAAAGGGTCCTGTGTCACTCACAATAAAATCCAAATTTATAAGTAAAGCTGGCCGAGGCGGGTGGATCACGAGGTCAAGGGATCGAGACCATCCTGGTCAACATGGTGAAACCCCGTCTCTACTAAAACTACAAAAAATTAGCTGGGCATAGTGGTGCATGCCTGTAATCCCAGCTACTCAGGAGGCTGAGGCAGGAGAATTGCCTGAACCCAGGAGGCGGAGGTTGCGGTGAGCCAAGATCGCGCCATTGCACTCCAGCCTGGGTAACAAGAGTGAAACTCCTTCTCCTAAATAAATAAATAAATAAATAAATAAATAAATAAATAAAGCAAGCAAGCTTACAAGGTTCACCTAGTCTTGTCCTGCCCACTTCTCTTATCTCAAGAGTTAACACTGTGCCTTCGTCACTCAACTGAAACCACACTGACCTTTTAGGTGATATTTCAATATGTTAAATGGATTCTTACTACAGGATCTTTGTCTTCATTGTTCCTATTGTCTGGGAATTCTTTGCCCAAGAGCTTTGATTATTTTATTTTTTTAGAGAGAGGGTCTCACTGTGTTGCCCAGGCTGGAGTACAGTGGTGCAATCATGGCTTACTACAGCCTTGACCTCCCAGGCTCAAGCAATCCTTCTGCCTCAACCTTCCGAGTAGCTAGGACCACATACATATGCCACCATGTCCAGCTCATTTTTAATTTTTTTGTAGAGACAAGGTCTCCCTATGTTGCCTAGGCTGGTCTTGAACTCCTGGGTTCATCCTTCAGCATTGGCTTTCCAGAGTGCTAGGAATACAGGTGTGAGCCACTCCCCAAGATTTTTACTTGAATCATTACCTCACTTCATTTGGAAGACTTCCCTGACCACTTTATTTTAAATAGTCAATACCCTTCCCTCATTGTTCTGTCCCCTTTCCCTGCTTTTTCTTGGTAGCCCTTATCACTACTAGATATTACGTATGTGTATGTGTATATATGTGTTCTTCTTCTGTCTCTTCTTTTAGAATGCAAACGTCATGAGAGGAGGAACTTTGGTTAATTTGTGTGCCCATGGATGTAGAATAGTATCTGACATGTAGTAAGTGCTTGATAAATGTGTCAAATAAATGAATGAAACCTGTTAGGTATAGATAGTATCACTCCTAATTTCAGACATGGAAATGTGTCTACCACAGCTGGCAGGTTTTCTGACTCCAAGTCCATTCTTTTATATCTTAGCTACTTGTTTATGAAACCTTGATTATTTATCCTCATCTTTTTATTTCTTACCTGTGGTGCTTTGTGTTATTCTCAGAGCATTTACTACGTTTTGTCTTCTGCTGTGGATGATGAATGCCCCTCTTTTCTTGTTCTCTCCCAGTGCCTTTTATGTATTGTTTAATAATCATGAGAGAGTGATAAATTATTTTTTCTTTTAGCTCACAGTATTTGAATTTTAATGTTAAATTTTATTTTTTTTAGTTTTTAAAAAATGAATGTACAACTGAAGACTTCAGATTTTTTCATGAAATTTTTGTCTAGCAACATGTAACTGCTTACATTTTTGTAACAGTAGAATTTTTTTTAGTAGATTTACTCATTAGAAAAACTTTATTTCCTCTTTTCCATTCTGGCTGTCATTTTTTCCCCCACCCCTCCCAAGAAGGGGGCAGTATTGATTCACGGATAGGGGACGTCATGTGGTACAGGATGTTTTCCACTTTTCTAGTAGGTTACATTTTTCATTTTTCTAGTAGGTTACAAAGTCACCAGCAGGCAAGAGAAGGGCAAAAATTCATTTCTTTATTCTTAAGAGGGAAGGCTGGAATGAGGCAGCAAGAAATGTGGACTTTGTAGCTAATGAGAATCTTTGCGTTTTCTGTGTGAACAGTAAGATAAATCAAGCTAGCTCTACCTGTAGCTACCACCCACAAAACTGTGAAGAAGGCTGTAATAGCAGATGGTATCCATACACAGTTTGATTTGTTTAGAAACCTACATAAAGAGCAGCATGTGTTTTGTTTTGCTTTTCCCCTTAATTACTCAGAGCCAGGGAGATCAGTTTTTAAATAAAATATAGTGAGATAGCCAGGAAAAAAATTACAAAAGAATATAGACAACTGTATTTTAACTGCATCGTTTTTATTCTGCCATATTTTTTGAGTGTCTGCTCAATTTATTGAGTAAGGCTCTGGACTAGGCCTTACATTGTAGGGGATATAAAGAAGAGTGGGTTTAGTATTACAAAATAAGTTCAGTTTAATTAACATGTTGTTAGTGTCTTTTATATGCCACTGAAGTGTTTTTGATACGCAGAAATTAAGACAGGTCTTTTCTTCAAGGAGCTTACACTACAATGGGGGAAATAAAGTTAAGAAATAGTTTCAATACCACATAGCAGATATGATGATAAATGTGTCTAAAGGTGCTACAGAAGTTCTGAAGAGGGTACTTAATAGAATCTGGGTGGATAGTGAGGATTAGAATGGAAATATGTCCTGGGGAGCTAATGCCCTAGAGTACAAACCTAGCTGAGTAAGTAGGTGCTAGCCAGGTAAAAATGAGTGGGCAGAGATCAGAGCTAGGAGGAAAAGCATGAGCAGAGACTGAGACAGGAAATACCATGGCTGTTTAGGAGAGATCCAAGTACTGCTGATATTACTGAAAGTAACATCTTTGGCAGGAGATGAGACTAGTTAACAGGGTAAAGATTATGGTGGAGTTCGGAGTTTATCCTCTATGTTCATGTTTCTTCAGGTGTTGGCCTGTTGACTCTTTGCAACAGAATATCCTAGAATGTTTGAAGAAATATAAGACTAAACTCATCCCAGGATGTGGAAAATAATCTATAAGATCTGTTGTTTCTGCTCAGAATTGGGATTTTCCTATAGGGCTATATAGAATGTTTGTATTTGATGAATATATTCTTAAATGATATACTTTGTCAGGTATACAGAAAAACAGTGCAGGGTTTGTCTTAACATTGGTTTTTTTGGGAGGTTCTCAAAAGAAGAAATATAGTTATAAAGAGTTGTTTATAAAATAGAGGACAGGTATACTGTGTCTTGAGTCAATAAACAGACAAAATTCCAAACAAAATGTAATTTGAAAGCCCAGGTCACACGATGTTTTTTAGGATATATTTCTCTAATACCAGTTTGGGGCGAGAATTCCTTGAGATGTCTAACACTTGGTGTTCAGCCTCTAGCTCTGTGTGTGTGTGTGTGTGTGTGTGTGTGTGTGTGTGTGTGTGTGTGTGTGTGTAAAATCTGAGAGAAAGCAAGGAATATGGATGTGGAAAATACTGCAGAATGATAAAGGGGGGAACCTATGATGTATTTATAAATGTTCTATATTTTTTTTACCATACAGGAATTAGAAGATAAAGGAAGATTGCAAAAACAGGCTGCAAGTAGTCAAAGTGCCACAGAGGTTCGCTTGAATAGAGCTCTAGAAGAAGCAGAAAAGTATAAACTGGAGTTAAATAAATTAAGGCAAAATAACAAGGTATGGAAAAATTGAATAGCTTTTGTAGTGATCCCTTTTGGTAACTAGTTCTTTTAGGAACCTGTCAAAACAATACTTAAATTATAATTTTTGATGTCATGCTGAACATTGCTTTTTTCAGAAGAAATACATTCATTTGTAGTATGCAGATTTCCAACATGTTAGGATGATGTTAGCTTGTCTATTGCCATAAATGGGTGATGGCACAACTTGAAGATTCATTTCTTCAACCAGTTTTATCAGGTGCCCATATTATATGTCAGACACTTTTCTAAGCTCTTAGAAAAAGTGGTTAAAAAAAGTATCTTTTGTATCTCAAGTCTTTATTCCTCTCTGAATCTCAGTTTTCTAATACATAAAGTAAGGCTATATTTTACAGGGCAGTGGTTCTCAAACTTGAGCATGTGTCAGAATCTCCGGGAGGGCTTGTTAAAACAGATTGCTGGGTCCCATCCCCAGAAATCTGATTCAGTAGGTCTGGAGTGAGGTCTGAGAATTTGCAGTTTTAACAAGTTCGATAAATTATTGTAAGGATCACTGTAACTCCAGTGTCTAGCCAATGCTTGGCATAGATTAGCATTCTGTGCCTTAATACTATTGAATAAATGAAGGCTCAAATGCCAGTGTGCATGAGAGCCTTTTGTACATTCTATAAATACTTGTTACTTTTTGGTTCTATCTTGACCTGAAAGGATAATAAGTGATATTCCATTGGACTCTGTTTAGTAATTAGGACAATATTTAATAATTTAACAATGACTTGGATAATGAAATTAGGAACCACCTTCAATATACACAGATAATACATTTTGGATTAAGTTAGTAACACTTGATAGGAATAGACTGAAACTGACTTTGGTAAGTCCTCTAACATGTTTGAGAGGCAAATATGTGGCATAGTGACTACAGAGTTTTAAGATGTCATCTGTGAGATAGTTTGTTACATGGTCAGGTCATTTTCATACTCAGGGGCCATCAAAGATGGCATAACTGGGATTTATTAATAGAAGTTATTAAATGAATAAGTTAGGAAGTTATCTTTACAGACTTACTAGTAATTAGCATGTTATTAGAGTATTACTCCCAATTTGGTGCATTTTAAAGGGATTTTGAAGAAACCAAAAGAAGAATAGCCGCCTAGATATCAGGATTTCCTAACTGTTGTAGATTTGATCTCTATATTGTATTAGTTCACACATTAAGAAAGTAGAAAGAAAAATGGTTTCTATGAAACAGATGACTCTCCATATTCTAGCCAGCCGTTTTGTTTTTTGTTTTGTTTTGTTTTTGGGGGTTTTGGGGTACATGTGAAGGTTATATAGGTCAACACATGTCATGCGGGTTGGTTGTACATACATTTCATCACCTGGGTATTAGGCCCAGTACCCAATAGTTATCTCTTCTGCTCCTCTCCTTCCTTCTGCCTTGTCCACTTCAAGTAGACCCCATTGTCTGTTGTCTCCTTCTTTGTGTTCCATAAGTTCTTATCATTTAGCTCCCACTTATATGTGTAAAGAAGCGGTATTCGGTTTTCTGTTCCTATATTCGTTTGCTAAGGATAACAGCCTCCAGCTCCATCCATGTTCCCACAAAAGACATGATCTCGTTCTTTTTTATGGCTACATAGTATTTCATGATGTATATGTACCAAATTTTCTTTATCCAATCTGTCATTGATGGGGCACTTAGATGATTCCATGTCTTTGCTATTGTGACTAGTGCTGGAGTGAACATTCATGTGCACATGTCTTTATAGTAGAATTATTTACATTCCTCTGGGTATATTCCCAGGAATGAGATTGCTGGGTTGAATGGTAGTTCTGCTTTTACTTCTTTGAGGAATCGCCACACTGCTTTGCACAATGGTTGAACAATTTACACTCCCACCTACAGTCTATAAGCGTTCCCTTTTCTCTACAACCTCACAAGCACCTGTTATTTGTTTGGCTTCTTAGTAATAGCCATTCTGACTGGTGTGAGGTGGTATTTCATTGTGGTTTTGGTTTGTTTTTTCTAATCATCATTGATATTGAGCTTTTTTTCATACTTATTGGCCACATGTGTCACCTGTTTTGAGAAGTGTCTGTTCATGTCCTTTGCCCACCTGTTAATGGGGTTGTTTTTCTCTTGTAAATCTGTGTATGTTCCATATGGAAGCTGGATATTAGACCTTTATGAGATGCACAGTTTGCACAATTTTTCTCCCATTCTGTAGGTTGTCTGTTTACTCTGCCCCTCGTTTATTTTTCTGGGCAGAAGCTCTTGAGCTTATGTAGATTCCACTTGTCAGTTTTCGTTTTTGTAGTTGCTTTTTGTGTCTGTCATGAAATCTCTGCCCATTCTTGTGTCCAGAATGGTATTGTCTAGGTTGTCTTCCAGGGTTTTTATAGTTTTGGGGTTTACATTTAAGTATTTAATTCATCTTGAGTTGGTTTTTGTATATGGTAGAAGGAAGGAGTCCAGCTTGAATCTTCTGCATAGGTTTAGCTAGTTATCCCAGCACCATTTATTGAATAGGGAGCCTTTCCTCATTGCTTGTTTTTGTCAGGTTTGTTGAAGATCAGATGGTTGTAGGGCCTTATTTATGGGCTCTCTATTCTGTTCCATTGGTCTGTGTGCCTGTTTTTGTACCAGTACCACGCTGTTTTGGTTATTGTAGACTTGTAGTTTAGTTTGAAGTCAGGCAACGTGCCTCCAGCTTTGTTCTTTTTGCTTAGGACTGCCTTGGCTATTCAGGCTCTTTTGTGGTTCCATGTAAATTTTTAAATAGTTTTTTTCCAGTTCAGTGAAGAATGTCATTGGTAGTTTGATATGAATAGCACTGAATCTGTAAATTGCTTTGGGCAGTATAGCCATTTTAATGAATCTTCCTATCCATGAGCATGGCATGTTTTTCCAATTTGTGTTTTCTCTGATTTCTTTGAGCAGTGTTTTGTAATTCTCCTTGTAGAGATCTTGCACCTCCCTGGTTAGCTGTATTCCCAGGTATTCTTGTGTGGCAAGTGGGAACAGGATTGCTTTTCTGCCTTGGCTGTCGATTTGGCTGTTGTTGGTATATAGGAATGCTGGTAATTTTCATACATTGATTTTGTATCCTGCAACCTTGCTGAAGTTGTTTATCTGCCAAAGGAGCTTTTGGGACGAGACTGTGATGTCTTCTAGATGTAGAATTATGTCTGCAAACAGAGATAGTTTGACTTCCTATTTGGATGCCCTTTATTTCTTTATCTTGTTTGATTGCTCTGGCTAGGACTTCCAATACTATGTTAAATAGAAATGTTGAGAGGGGGCATCCTTGACATGTGACAGTTTTCAAAGGGATTGCTTCCAGCTTTTGCTCATTCAGTATAATGTTGGCTGTGGGTTTGTCATAGATGGCTGTTATTATTTTGAGATCTGTTCCTTCAATATCTAGGTTATTTAGAGTTTTTAATATGAAGGGTATTGAATTTTATTGAATGCCTGTTCTGTACCTACTGAGATAATCATTTGGTTTTTGTCTTTAGTTCTGTTTATGTGATAAATTGCATTTATTGATATCTGTCTGTTGAACCAACCCTGCATCTGGACAATGAAGTCTACTTGATCACAGTAGATAAGCTTTTTGATGTGCTCCTGGATTTGGTGTACAGATATTTTGTTGAGGATTTTTGCATCAATGCTCATCACAGATATTGACCTGAAGTTTTCTTTTTTGGTTGTCTCTCTGCCAGGTTTTGGTATCAAGAGGATGCTGGCCTCATAGAATGAGTTGCAGAGGAGTCCCACCTATTTAGTTTTTTGGAATAGTTACTGTAAGAATGGTACCAGCTCTTCTTTTTACATCTGGTAGAATTTGGCTGTGAATCCATAGGGTTCAAGGCTTTTTTTTGGTTGGTAGGCTATTTATTACTGATGCAGTTTTGGAGCTTATTATTGGTCTGTGCAGGGATTCAACTTCTTCCTGGTTCAGTCCTGGGAGGATGTATGTGTCTAGAAATTTATCCGTCTCTTCTAGGTTTTCTAGTTTGTGTGCATAGAGGTGTTCATGGTAGTTTCTGATGGTTGTTTTTATTTCTGTCGGGTCAGTAGTAATATTCCCTTTGTCATTTCTAATTTTGTTTATTTGGATCTTAACTCTTCTTCACTAGTCTAGCTAGTGGCCTATTAATTGTTTTCAAAAAACCAACTCCTGGATTCATTGATCTTTTGAATGGTTTTTCACGTCCTGATTTCTAAAGTTCAGATCTGATTTTTGTTACTTCTCATCTGCTAGCTTTGGGGTTGATTTCTTCTTGCTTCCCATTTCTCTCAATTGTGAAGCGAGGTTTGATTTGAGATCTTTCTAACTTTTTGATGTGGGCATTTAGTACTGTGAAATTCCCTCTTAACTCTGCCTTTGCTGTGTTCCAGAGATTCTGTTATGCTGTATCTTTTATTATTTTCAAATAACTTTTTGATGTCTGCCTTAATTTCATTATTTACCCCAAGGCCATTCAAGAGCATGTTGTTTAATTTCCATGTAATTGCATGGTTTTGAGTGATTTTCATAGTCTTGACTCCCATTTATTGTGCTGTGGCCCAAGACAATGTTTGTCATGATTTCAGTTCTTTTACATTTTTGAGGATTGTTTTATGTCCAATTATGTGTTCAGTTTTAGAGTATGTGCCATAAAGCACTAAGAAGAATTTATATTCTCTTGTTTTGAGTGGAGAGTCCTGTAATGGTCTATTCATATCCATTTATTTCAGCATTGAATTTAGGTTCCAAATATCTTTGTTGATTTTCAGCCTTGAAGATCTAATACTATGGAGTGTTGAAGTCTCCCACTATTATTGTGTGGGAGTCTGTGTCTCTTTGTAAGTCTCTAAGAACTTGCTTCATGAATCTGGGCGCTCCTGTGTCATGTGCATGTATATTTAGGCTAATTAGGTATTCTTAACTGAATTGAACACTTTATCATTATGTAATGCCATTCTTTGTCTTTTATGATCTTTGTTGGTTTGAAACATTTTGTCTG